GGCTTTGGCTAGCCGAAGGCTCCGGTTGTGGATTCCTCAAGAAAATTCACCTGCCTTGGCCTGGGCAACCTGGCAGTACTCAGCCCACAAGCCAATCATGGAACATTTTTCTTTTTATAAAGATTATTGTACCATGATTTGTTTGGCACACAGTCTGTCCTCAGACAAGTGTGAAATATATATATATATATATATATATATATATATATATAAGGGTTTTACCTGGATTTCTAGATTCCAAAAATTTCTGTCAATCAACAGCGGTGTTACATCTGGCCCTCTTGTTGGTTCCATTGTACAAGAAATAAAACCATTTGACGTATATGATGAGACGTTCACCCAAAATGCACATAACCGGTACCCCCACGTAGACCAATCTTATGCACGCAGAATTCATCATATCAAAAGTTGGCCCGACGGTTGGTAGACACTTCGGGCCCCATTGTAATAAAGACCATTTTGAACTCGTAAATTTATTAGACAATTTTAATTTATCCTCTAGCAAAATGTTTTCCATTGATGTTGATTTCCTTCTCACAAATGTTCTTCTTCATGACGTTTTATGTGAGTTTATCTCTTCAATGAATATTCACCTTCCTATTTCCCTTGATTATTTAAAAGATCTTATCATTTTTTGCACTGAGAACATTCCTTTTGAATATGAAGGAACAGCGCACAAAATAATTTACGGTGTAGCAATGGACAGTCCCCTAGGCCCAACACTAGATGATGTATTTCTAGGAATGGTTGAAAGACGATTGAATGATAATATTTCAATGGCTGTTTTGTACAAACGTTATGTTGATGATATTTTGGTTTTTACCGACTCTGATCATTTTAACACCATGTTAACAATATTTAATACCATTCATCCGTTGAGGAGGAAAAGGACGGTTGTTTGATTTTTTTAGATGTACGAATTAATAGGCGATCAGATGGCACATTGCAAAGATCCGTCTACCGGAAGACTACATAGACTGGACAATACTTACAATTTGCTAGTTTTGCTCCGGTGGCACATAAAAGAGGTCTGGTGAAGCCTCTGTTACATCGTGCCAGGAATATTTGTCGTTCTGAGACTCTTCAAGAAGAAGAGGCTTTTCTGCGAAGAACGCTACTGGATAATGGTTATCCAGAGAACTTTGCTGATGTGCATAGTAAACGAAAGACACCGGTTGATCTCGTCTGCGAAGTACCGAAGAAGAGTGTCTTCCTCAGACTCGCCTTTAAAGGTGATCATACAGTGAATGACGCGCGACAAAAGCTCAGGGTGGCATTATGTCGAACTTTTCCTGCCGCACAGCTTTGATTGATACCGTTTACCCAAGGACTTCGTTTGGCCAATCGAAAACAGAACCAGCCGTACAATTCTGATTCACATCTAGTCTACAAATTCTCCTGTAGTTGCGGTGACAGTTACATCAGCAGAACGAATCGGCCCCTCTCACAGTGGATGTCTGAACACATTCCCAAGTGTTTGGTACAATCGATGACGCAACACAGTCTTAGAAGTCAAATTGATAAAAGAAATCCAGGGTCATCAATCGCTAAGCATTTCATGACAAATGAACACAGTTGACCCACATTTGTCGTTCAAGCCGTTATTATGTAACATGAAACCCATATTGGCGTTTAGCTAATCAATTTACGTTACCCAACCTTGTGTGCACAATCGTTTCTGACACAATCAGTCAGACTACCGTAGAACGGCTTTCCCACCCGCTACCCTGACTATTGTCCACGGAACCACTGTAGTTAACAAAGCTTACTTGTATACATTCCAGGTTGTTTTACGTTGTAGTGGCTGAAGAAATTAAAAGAAATGCTAACATCTAGCGGTATTTGGATATTGGATACCGGGGACCCGATGTTTCAAGTCTGTGATCAGGTTTCCGATGGAACCATTGTCTACATGTCTCATTCACTCGCGGTATCCAATCCCAACTTGACCATCTTCCGTGTCGAGCACTTATTATTATTAATATGCTTTGCCTGGTGCACATCGCAATTTATCATTCAATGATAATGAACAAAATGAGTGATTGGCTTAGGAGAAAGATCCTATTTGCTCGTATTACTGCCTGTCCGATATCAAAGGTTTATATTTGTGTTACTTTCAATTCACTGTTTTCAGGGAATCGGGAGTAAAATTTCCCTTCTGTCTTTTGAATACAACTTTGAAAATGCTTCTCTGATTTTTGCTGTATTATCAAATAAGAAGAGGGTGCAGGTTTTCAGTCACTGACATCGACGGAAATTTTGGCCAGCCTCACTGTGACCTGGAAGACACAATGGCAACACCCACACACCTTCCATGAGAACGATCCGGGAATTAAGCCCTAGCTGGAGCTCAGAATATGCACTACTGATAAATTTTTATTAAATTGAAACTTGAATTGATAGGGTGAACCAAGTATTGTACGTGAATATGGAGTCTGAACAACGACCAGTTAAAATCAGTAAAAACATTGTTATATGTTATAGAAATGTTTGTGATAACCGACAAAGAGCACTGGATACCTATTTCGTCCTGTTTGTGCCTGTGAAAAACCGAATGGGTTAATCCAACCATTCACCGTCTATATCTTCATACTTTTTTCTCGCAGAATCAAAGCTCACCTTTCACGTAACGCCTCATGTCTCAAGTCCACAAACAACGGTAACGAGTCTTTGAATGTTTTCATATGTTCATAAATAGCCCGACCGATTGGATGCATACGGACCGCTTTGGGTAATTGTCGAAGTGATTTTAGATATTGTTCAATTCCCTCTTGCAAGTTTTGTATATTCAACTCACGCCATAATGTTTGCGCCCATTCTTCACGTGCTTGCTGCACACCGGGAGAGGGGAGGAGGAGGCAGAGGACAAAAACGGAAAGGTACCGAGGAAATATGTTTAATGCCGGAGCTGACAGTTGGAAAAAAAATCATGCAGAAAAACGACTTATCAGAAGGCCACTGTGCACCTTTTGTACCTTTTGTGCATTGTAGACAGCGAACAACTGAGCCAGACCATGTAATTCCGTTTCAATTTGAAGCAGTTGTGGATAAGGTGTTATGGGCAAATCGAACAGTTTCTCGGCGGAGGCCAATTCTTGGCGTTGTTTCTCCACTTCCTCTATTTCCGCTTGACAGGCCTTAAAAGTGAGAAAAGCGAAAACAGAAACGGACCAATGGGAGGGGGAGGCGGTTAGAAAGAAAAGGCATATTAGGATGGTTGGATGAAAGGACAACAGATTGCATCATAGGTATGTTCGAAAAGATATCGTAATTACAAATTGCTAGAATTTTCACTTAAAATTAAAACAAAACTATTTGACTTATTACAAATCATTGATGAGGTCCCAACAAACAATTTTAGGTACTGTGTTAGGTGTATCCAATGAGAGTGTCACCTCTGAGCTGTTAGACTATCGCATTCATCTGGGAATTCCCTAACTCGTTGACCTCCATCACTCACCCTCTGTTTCCTGTAGCTTCACGAAACTGAGGCTTGTTTCCACGGTCAAACAACAGGAAATGGCTCGGTAGGTGGAATAAACAAGCTTCAGGGTATCTGATAGTCGTAAACCTCAAACAGAAGGCTCAATGCATACGGCGCCAAGTGTTCCTGAGTGGTCGAATGCGATCTATTACATGGTTAGTCATCTAAGGGGAAACTTTTGCCAACTGAAAGGAAAGCATAGATCTCGAGGTTGCATTCACATGCATCGAATGGTGAATGATCATTTGGGGAACCTCCCGCCATTATACACCTTACGGTTTGCATCTGGTTATGGGAAAGTTCGAGATGTACCCTTCCAGAAGGCGGGTATACTGGGGACGTATCTTGTATCAAGATGATGTTCAAGAGGCCGGCGTATCTTCTCCAAAAAGCTAGTCGCAGTAACGTAAAGTAGAAATATTAAAGTGTAATCAATGAGATTATCCCAAGTTTTGACATTTAATTTTAAGAAAAATAGAGTTGAATGTCAGTGTATTTCACATAGCTATTTGCATGGGTTGAATAACAACGTGCCCAATGTAACCATCATTGCCATATACCCACGTTTTTGGCAATCTGCATTCTAAACTAGTAGCAATAGTTTGGACTAAAAACTAGAACGGTTGCTGTTCTAGTCCCAGTTGGAGAACAAACAGAGTACGCATTGCTAATAAGTCCAAATAAGAACGAAACAGCTAGCTATTGATCTTCGCCAGCCATNATCTCCCCCAGCCATAACATCATAATTTCAAAACACGTGAAAAAGTATTGCTTGGATTATGCAAAAATCCATATATTTGATGGAATTCAGATATACATCGATTACACCTCGGTAAGTTGGATGGGCGGTCAAAATGTGAAAAGTCAGTCAAGTCAAGTCAAGAAAAGCTTTTTGCGCCCAAAGGGTGAATTTTCAGCAGTTTAAGATATTTACAGTGGATAGGTAAAACAATTGCAAACAAAAAAGACAATATAAGAAATTGTACACTTTAATAAATGAGAGAAAAATTAGAGCAAGTTTTTCCCTGAGGTGGGTGAGAATAATCTAACGATTGTGTCCGGGGATTTAACAGGGCTTTCGTGATATCTTGGTGCAGATAGTGCCTTTGATCACGAATTATCCTGTCAATGAATGTATCACAAGCGTCAAGATGCTTGGGAATAAAGAATTCAACTAAAACAACTCTATCAACTCCACTATAGCGGGACAAAAGTTTAAGGGATCTTGAAAATAAAGAGAAGTCTTTTTATTTCAGTCCAGGGATAAAAATTGGGGAGAAGTACAGCCAGTGTGGAACAATGCAGGCAATCATAAAGTTATGAATAAGATTATGTGGTACGGCCAGTTTCCTGAACCTGTAAGCATAGAAAGACGGTTTTCGAACGTTTGTGAAAACGTTGATAACATGAGCAGACTAGGACAGGTTATGGGTAAGGGTGACACCAAGGTATTTAACAGATACAGATTTGGGAATGCGTTGATTGTTAACTCTAAGATCAGGGAGATTATCAGCTAATGAAAGATAACAGGGACCGGTTTTAAGACTAAATGGAACTTCAATGCACTTACTGATGTTAAGTACAAGGGATCGGGTCACAGACCAATTGTGAATTTCATTAGGACTGTCCTGGAGAGGTCAAAAACTATCGGAAGTAGGGGCTGGGCAACCAATCACAATATCATCAGCATACTTCTAAGCAATAAAGTTGGTGGGAATGGGCAGATTTTGTATATACATAGAAAACAAGAAGCGGGACAAAATGGCACCCTGAAAAACATCGGCTTCAATGTTATCAGAAGAAGACTGTACACCATCCAGTGAAGTAAACTGAGTCCCACGGGAGAAGTAGTTGATTAGTACATTCAAAACTTCAAGAATTACGCCACACTCAGAAAGACGATCAATAAGCAGTCTTCGATCGAGAAAACCAAAATCGTTTGTATAGTCAAGAAAAGTTAAACGAGTGGTATCAGTGCCATTGTCTAAGACGGAAGCAACAGAATGAACAATATGAGCAACGGTGTCGAGTGTGGATAAATGGGGTTTATAAGCAAATTGTAAAGGGTCATGAGAGTTAAACTGGGTTATCATGCGGTGCAGCAAAACATTTTCAAAGGCCTTCAGCAACACAGATGTGCAGGCAATTGGACGGTACTTTGACGATCCTTTCTTTGAGATTTGTCTGATCCGGGTTGACCTCCAAAAATCGGGGATCGTTCCAGATGACAAACAAGTACTGAACAATTCAGCAATGGGTGTCGCAAGCTGGTCGGTGCAGGCTTTCAATAAATGAGGTGCTAATCCATCGGGACAATAAGCTTTATTGGCCTTGAGTCTCCTCAAAACTTGGAGGACCTCGTACGGAGAAACAGGTTTTATTGCATCATGGGTAGGAAAAGGAGCTTGGAGGGAGCTAGATGCATGTATAGAATCACATTGACGGTTAAGTACCTCAACGTTTGGACAAGAACTGATGAGTGAGCCACAGAGTTTCCGCAAGGTAGTCCACATCTCATGAAAGTTTTTGTTGCCCAAAACAGTCTCGATGTACATTCCGTTCAGGCGTCTTACTTCTGTTCTAATCAGAACAGAGAGCTCTTTGACACTGTTACGCCTGCCGGCCATATATATATGCCGTCTCTTTAGCACAACGAAATCGCTTAAGAAGAGGAGAGGAAAACCTATTGTTTCGAATATAAATAATTTAAACAGGACAGCATTGGTCATACCATAAATTAAGATAATCGGTATGGTGTTCACAAGAAGACAGCTGGTTATGGAAGAACACAGAAAAGTCAGTAGAAGAAACTAAGGCCCGCAGTCGGGAAAAGTTCTCAGGAGAACAATTTCTCTACCGTAGCGAACGGGAAGTGGGTCGTGTATGAATATATATGAATATATTTTGGGGTAAACAAGAATGGTACTGGGGTCAGAAGTGCTAATCGGGACTCGTTAAAAAACGTGAAACATATTTCGACTATTTACATAAATGCCATCAAGAAAGGCATTGGTACGGGTTAAGGAAAATTGACAAGCCTAGAGTGGTTAGAAATGAGGTATCAAAGCGATTAAAGTCAGCAGCGGTAATAAATAAGGACTGGTCAATAAAACTGGCGAATTGTGTTACTACAGTATCAGAAAATAGTCTTAAGTCGGGGGCGAGTGTATCAGGGGCAATATAAATATTCACAAAGTAAATGAAGCGAAATCTGCTGAGAAAGCGGGGTTTGCAGCAAACAAAAGTGCAGTTAATTTTACTTGATGAGTTGGAAAAACGAGTGTTCTTACACCAACTTCGATTTACGGAAGTGACCACTCCGCCACCTATGTTGCGAAAATTCACAATCCGATTACTCCTAAAAATATCAAAGCCGTCTACTCTGACCACATCATCCTCAATATCTGGCTGTAGCCAGCTTTCCTGGAGTAAAATGACTCGCACACTTTTGCATTGTTTCTGTTGCCCCAGATTCTGAACGTCATCGATTTTTCCCACAAGTGAGCAAATGTCAGTCGAATAAATGGACGGAATGGCTACGCTGTTGATAGAACTTCACCGGAGCGCAACCTGCCAGCCAACGCGATGCATTTTATGGTGACCTGGACGTTTATTTCTCAACCCTTTGTAACGATTCCTCACGGAGTGAGAAAACGCTGAAATTCCAACGTCATTCGCGAAAAAACAGAAAAAATTTCGTAAAACAGAATTCGTAGGTCAGAATTTGACCTTGAAAAATTGGTGGATTGATGTAAACATGTACGGTCAATAGTATCCACTGAAAAAACGTAAATAGTAGTCCAATTTCGAAAAGCACGGCCGAAATTCAAAGGCCGGATTGGTGTCGTAGGTCAAATGGTAAAGCGTTCGCTGTGCAGAAGTGTAAGAGCCATATCTGCGTGCATGTTTGAATTCAGCCAAGGCCATTTATCTCGTCAAAGTTCAATCCCAATACTTTTGGCATCTCACTATCTACCAAACAAAAGTAGGAATGAAAATGTATTGAAAAATTGGGAGATTAAAGATGTCAGAGAGTCCGACTGGCACAATGAGGTCAATACTTAGATCCTGATGTCTATACATTTCCGTACACCACAAAATAACATATCTAATTTACTTCGAACTGGCTAAAACAGTATGCGATATGTGGGTAAAACCGAGCTTTATAATTAACCTGGGGAACCTAGTGGTAAGGCGTGGGTCTCATAAACCACCTCTAATGGATTGGGATTTTCACAAACTGACCAGAAAACCAGTTCCACAGAAATTCACTAAACCCACATCGTTTTCAATATCTTTCAGAAATAGGTCGGACACCCTGAACTCGCAAGATAAAATGCCTCCTAACAATCATGTGATCATAGACAACAATGATCCTGCATTATGAGTGATACCTTTACTTTGTAATAACGCGTTTCGAACTGCATCGAGTCACTTAACCATAGCCTGCTTATTGATTTTCCTTGGAAGCGACTATTTGCTCACAACCTACCTGTCAAAGTATAGTTTCACAAGCCTGAAGGGCTATCATCTTTTTCCGACAAACAATAATCATCCCAAAGTACTTTAAACTCGGCGAAAAATGACCCGAACGCAAGCAGCAAATTTATACCCTAATAGGATTTACTTACGCCAAGTTCAGCAGCACCAGCATCCAGGTCCTGTGTTTTTGTGCCGGGACCTTCTTCGTAGAATCGTTTAGCCAACCGTTCCACGAGAACCGCAAAATTCTGAATTTCATCTTGCGTCAGTTTGGTGAACTTTCGTTTTACACCGCCCAACGAATTTTCCTTAATCCGAGCTGCTTCCAATAATTGATTCCAGGTCGATTCAATTTCCGACGCTAGTTGCTGTTCATCGTCCGGCACCGCATACTGGTGCAAACGGAGTAGTCTATAGCGTTCTTGGATGTCCCGAATTTTGAATTCAACATCCAAACTGGAGAAATGTAAATCGCGAATCAGCTTCAGCATGATTTTAAGCTCATCCAAACTGTTCGGATCATCCTCGAGATCTTCAAATCGATGCTAGATGGAAGAAAACGACAAACAAGCGAATAGCCTATCACAAACGAGGAAAGCACACAAAATCATAGTGGGTAAGTATAACTGGTTTGTTATTTGTTAACTTATACCTTTTTCCGTTCCAGTACCGACACGATGTCCCAGAGCGTTACGAAAAATTGTCAATTATGTTTCTTAGCTGCGATGAAACTGATAGGACTAATCCAGGCATGAAGCTGAAGATTCATCTGTCAAGATGAATAGACCAATTTGTGACTTGGGGCTGGCAAGTAACTATCCGGTACGTACTTGACCTGGGGATTAATAGTTAACTAATTCACGAAAGTACATGGTTAATGATTATAAAAATCGGAACTGAACTGAATTCACTCTATCTATCCTAGTCAAATTTGAAGGGTGAAGTGTAATATTCACCTTCACAATCTAATCTATTAAAGCATATCGCCACGAAAACAATCAAATTATGTTTCTGTATCTGACCATTAGGTTATGAACCCCTTGCAGCATAAAGATTTCATTTGCTGTGTTCGCATCCCGGTCCACATTTTGATCATATGGATTCCTGTTTTTATAACCTACGATAATGTGACACAACAGCACGATATTGAGCGGTGTGGTCAAAATGTGCTCCTGGACAGTGAGTGACAGGGATCGAAGACACCTTTAATCGACTAACATTTTTGTCTCCTTTTTCGGTCATCAAATGACACCCACCTCCCACCCACCTGCGGCTGCCAGAAAATACTCCCCAGTAAACAAGGGCAAACATCTCGAAAAGTCATTATAAGGGGCAACAGAAGTGCTTGGAAAGTTTCAGTGAGACAATAATCTGCAGTCTTGCAGTTGGTACTTGGCTTTTAAAAGGCTAGAAATGTTTAGTGAGGTAAAAAAGCAGAATGGTTCTGAAGACGTCATTTCCCGTTGATTCCCCTGGAACTTATTTGAATGTTCGAAGGACTAATTCAAAAATTGACGAACACGTTAAGTACCAGCTTAATTTCTTTAAAACCAAGTTTCCTTTCGGTTTCGTTATTCACCAAAGAATCCCATTGTGAAATGGACAGAATTGCACGGGTAGGGAACATGCTTGTTTTCTGTAACCTCTTCATTGGGTTAATGCAGTTTACATAGGAAGAGAGATGCAACAAATAATGTGAGAATGAATGTGCACTGATTGGATGACATTGATGTGAAAATTGATTGGGTAACATATAAAAAAAGTTTTATCAATCATTCTTTTAAAGAAAACCAAGAAACACAGAAGGATAGAGAGGGAAGAAAAAGGATGAGTGAGGTAAGGTACTTCCGGTTTACGTGAAAGTCAAGGATCAATTGGAGTTCTGTGTCGGGTCTGGCCCAGGGTGGTTGAAAGGTTCTGAAGAACTGTTTTTACAAACATGCAGTTGATTGCAATAACTTTACTGCTACCGTTTCGGTTGCTGCAAAGTGGTATTGCAATGACCTTTCGGTATATATCTTACCCAAAGACTCTTCATCACATACATATAATCCAATTAAACGCGTATTCATCCAGACATTATTTTTATATATCTTTTGTTGATATATGTGTTACATAGAGGAAGAAGTTATCAAAAAGAGATTGTTCGCCAGTCGTGTTGTTGTGCCAAACATGGAGGTGGAACACCTTGGTTAGCATACCGTCTACGGTTACGCAACCCCGATCGGATCACCATCTGTGCCAACCTTCTCACTAACCGCCGATCATATAGATGCCATTTGAAATATCCAGAAAGTCGACTGATGTTCTCCAATGAGAAAAGTGAGAAAATGTAAATTTTTTAGACCATGAGCATAGGGTACAATTAGATTCTTTGTCATAGTATGAGAAATCAATGTAAGACAAACGACTAAGATAGTGTGATTGGGCGCTAGGCCGTGACATGGAGTCACCTACCTCAAAAGCGGGTTGCACAGAATGTCTTTCATCCCAGGCTCTTACGGATCTGTGATAACATCATTCAATTTAAGGAACCTTTTATCAATATGTATGAGACCCAACCAGAGATATTCCATCTATTATGAAGAAAATCCTCGCCATTTCATGTAACCCAATGAAATCAGGGAAATCAGGCAACTCATGTACCTTGAATTCTTCCTGCAGACTCAACAAGGACTCGTGTCCCACAAGATGCATTTGTTTCGCATAGGCTTTGGTCCATTTATAACTGTGTTCTTTCACATTGTGAATCAGTTCTCTCAGACGAAGTTGAATGCAGCCGACCAAACGTTCCGTTGGTATGGCACACAAATCGGCCAGTTTTCCTTCCATTTCCAAAATTTTCTCGTGTATTTCAATCGCCGTTCTTCCTTTGCTAATCCATCGTTCAACTTGAGCTTCCTGAGACAAGTGTAGAGGGTAGAAATAAAACGAGAAAGGGGTTTATTTTCGACAGCATCATCCTGGTCTTCGTCAGAATACATGATTTTCCGGAAATGAATGCTAAAACACTCCTTTAGTTAGACAAGCACAACCGACAGACCATTTCCGATGTCATATTCACATATCACCTCATTCTGAGTATCAAAAATGAGCCTCTGTGTGAGGGCCGATTAGGAACATGAAAGCTGTACGCTTGATAAGTTTTGGACTATTCGGTTGCATCTCGTGTTAGTGGAGTCCGCCAGTCCGACTGCGAATCACCGGAAGTTTTGATTACGCACTGGTCAATGCTGCGCTACATTTGATGTCTACAAACGAAATGATTTTGACAAAGCAAAAGAGTTTGTCTACCTTATACGTCTTTGTTTTTCTTATGTTACCCGCTTAGATAACATCGTCTTGGGTATGCGGGGGAGGGGGGGAGTGATGAAATGAGTGAAGAAGTTGGATCCAGGAATCTCTTCTTTAATCCAAAACGGAAAGGATAGATAAGTGGTATTGACGAGACCCAGTAAAATTGAAGCAATAAAACACCATGCTTCAGCTATTCAGCCCACTTTTGGTTTATGATGCAGTCGAGGAAGTCGTTTTTCAGGAATGATTATACTGTCAGCACATTATAAGTACTTATGAAAGTTCCACCACATAATCTTTTGTTGGAGGTTTCTTTTCATTGTTCAACAGACCGCATTTTGCTTACATGCAGTTAGCAAACTTTTCAAGTAAAACCTATGAAAACCCATTTATCGAATTCAGACATTTTGTACACACTACAAGTGGTAATAATATTCTCATTACTCACTTTGTTTGGGAAAAATTTATTCTTATGCTTGCGCCAACTGTCTTGATAACGCTTCATCTTGTCCACATGGGTGGCATACGTTCGAGCAATTTGCTGCACCAGATCAGCCACTTCGGCCGATTTAGCAATCTCTTCGTAGAACGTGAATCGATACAATTCATCTGTACTGTCCACCTTGATTCCGGGAGCGATTTTACATGAACCACGACACCAACGAACAATCAGTCGTGTGATTTCAACCGCATCACGCAGTTCCTAAAAGGAGAACAGAATTGAATAGAAGGAAAATGTTTTATCTGAAGATAATTCGCCAAGTTTCTCTAATCCCAAAGGGAACAGTCGTTTGCAAGCAAGCTCATTTCTAGTGATTCGTGATTGTAACAATATATAATAGAAAAATACCAGTAGTCAATCCAACACTTGTTTTGGTGAAGGGAAGATTCACAAACCAGATGTTTTGGGGTTCATACCCTACACCACTGTGACGCTTTAAAATATCTCCCTTCAGCGTTTTTGCAGTGCGTATCTACCAAACCCATTATTATTGAACTCCTTTAATGAGTAGGATTAAAGTTCATCCGGATCACTACTTTCTACACACTTAAATACCATCAACTTGACACCCCGATGTGATATCCAACAATATAATTTTCCAACAACGCTGAAGTGGACAATTCTAAACAATACGTGTCAAATACGGGAATCGAGTCTAGACGCGTCTGATATCAGACACGATTATAAAGCTCGTTGAATTCATTTAATCTAAGGAGTTCTAAAGGCGATTACGTAAAAAGTGGTGAGATTGGAGTGTGTCCGACAGAGCAATAACCCTGGAAGCGAATGCTGAAATGAGCTAGTTAGATGCCCGTAACGAGCTCGTAAAGATTGGCTGCACTATATCGTGCATAGGCGAACTAAAAAGCGATTTGATCAACTGCCCGGTGATCAAGTTGGTAGTATGCTTCCGTTTTGCCCGGCTTCGATCCTTAGTTTGTAGGCGGATTCACACTGCTTAAGAGACCCCATCAGGTAGAAACAGCTATAGAGCTCCCTAGTATTTAAGCTCACACTTTGTTTGCTATGTACATGATAAAATACACTATATCATGTGATCACAACCTCCATCGTACTACTGTACTCACAAGTTTACTTAGACATTCGTAATTCCTGATTAGCATCCATCAACCACCAAAATGAAGAATTGACATAATCTGTCAACGAGTGTGATTTGCTGATTCTTAATGTTTTCCCGTCACAAATTTGAACAGAGAAGTCAGATACATGGGTTTGCACAATGTATCCATGGTCATTTCGCTGCATCTGTACACATGCATACTGCAGTCCAAGTGATTTTTATAGTGTGCACACTATTTCATCGAGCTCGTGAAATATGCACAGAGCGACGAAGACAGCGTCCTAAAAGAAGCACTACAAACAAACGGATATCCAGGCGCCTTCATCACCAAGCATAGTAAAGTAACACCAAAAATAGACAGTTCAATAACTGTCCCGAAAAAGAAAACGTTTTTGATGTTAGCATACAAAGGCGATGACGTGAGTGAACTCGTTAGCAAGCGGTTGAACTCTGCTGTCAAGCGAGTCTATTACGCAGTTGACCCGGCCATTGTCTTCACTACCACCCGGATACCAACGACATCGGTGAAAGAACCATTGCGTCCCTCCGCCAAATCAAAT